TATATTTTCATATATAAAGACTTGTTGGTCATATATACTGTGTGAGAGAAATATTAAGTCTGATATTATAAAATTTTTTTTTTAAATGAGACATTTGACTTTTATATTGTTTTATTTAAAACTGGATTTTATATTGGCTAATTATTAATTTATCTGGAAAATATTTACTTTCCATTAAGTTATTTTTTTAATTAAATAATATAGTATTAAATAGTATTTTGTATTTTTATTATTATTATTTTTTTTAAATCATAGCAGGTTTGTTATTTATTAAGTAATGATAAAAAAAATGCTGTCTTTAGAAATTAGAATTAAACAATATCAAATTTGGCAGATAAAGTTAAAAATTATTGTGTTAAACATATAATATGTCCATATTATTTTACGTTAATACATATTTCCTAAAAATACATTATGTAAAACATTTTTACTTGCTCTCATATTCCCACAAATGTTACACAGCACCCCTAGTTTGAAAACCCCTGCCCAACACACAGGCATTATATTAATAATTATTTTAAAGCATATTAATTCACTGTGAATATTTCAGCTGGCAAAATGTTTCCCAGTGGTTCCTTTATACTTTCAGCACAACAGCACTTCAAACACTGCTTATGTTCATGTGACTTGTCACATATTCACATTAGCCACGTTTACTTCTTGACTAACCTAAAAATTGTAAGAACATTTTTCAAAAAGTATTTTAATTGCATTTTACAAGAAAATACTTTTTCAGTCTTTTGACTTCAAATTTTCATGTTGCGATTAATTGCTAATGCTTTCTTGTTTACTTCAGAGTGCGCACGCGTCTTTCACGCAGCATATAGCAGTGTTGTGTATTTTGACCAGTTTATGGGAAAAGTATTCTTAAAATGCATTCAAAATTCTGAATAATTTGTAATATATAATTATTCACGGTATTTAGAAGTGCCCACGATAACAATATCGTGCATATTCATTACCGTGATATATCGCATTACCGAATACCGGCACAAGTCTAATGTACAATCAGTTTCTGAGTGAAAATTGTTCCCTACGCCATTTTTTTTTATTTCAGTGTACTAGAATTCAATGCTAAACCTCTGTTTGAACTATGTTAAACCTACTCACTGGAGCACAGAATGCCAGTGTCATTTAATGATGACGTTATAGAGGAATTGAAATAGAAGATTTCTCTTTCTGTTAGAGAGAGTGCCTTTGTCTCTTTTCATTTGTACCCTCCTTTCAGAATGATCAAGAGCAAACAAGACCGAGTAAGACGTAAGACAACAATTTTATCACTGGTATGTGGGCACAGACCATCAGGGCTTTACTAGACAGGCTTTATTGAGAGAATTTAAGGTGCTATAAAGTGCCAGAACGCAGCAAGAGGAAATAATGAAAATGTAGTTTTTATAAACGCTAGAGGTGAGACGCTGAATATGCCAGTATTTGGAGTTTATTTACGTGAAGGACAAGAGCGATCCCTAAAGGAAAGGCCTATGAGGGAGACTTTTGGTTTCCATGGAAACTGGCTAAGACAGCCCTAAAGAAAAGCAATGGTGAATCATCAGGTGGGTCCTTCCCGATCCAGATGTCTACAGACGCGCACAGACACACTTCTGTAGTTCACCTCAAAACAGTAAACATCAATGACGGATTTCAGTCAACTTGTTAGTATGTCCGGATCATTTCATCATACAGAGCTCATCTTCTAAAAACAGCACAAAAAGCTTTTAAAAAAGGCTGAAACCCTCATCCCAGGCCTCAGGTCAACCTTTCGAACTCTTAAATCACCCAGCTTCATCCCAGCATCACCTCCCTCTAGCTGTTTTGAATGAAGCCGTTACTGCAGCGTTTAAGCACAGAGTTGTGACCTTTGAAGCGCAGACTCTCTGCCTCATTAATTCACACTGAGTCCAGACAAATCTGGGAGCCTCCAAACCCAGGGCTGCAATCTCAGCGGGAAAAGCCTGTGACTCACACAATAACTGCCTGCTCTCGCTGCTCTGGCCTGTCTAGACAACTCCACTATGAACCTGGTGTCGTTTCAAACTTTTTAGCGTCTTGCAACATCAAAGTTTCTCAGGATAAAGAGACTGCAGGTTCCGGCTCATCTCTATTAGGAGCTTTATTGTTTGATTTATTATTTTCCTAACTCACAAACTACAATTTATCATTTGGTATAAACCTATAGTATTTAAGTATCAACTGTAATAGTTCCATTAAAATATAGATATTCATATTTAATACAAGACGCCTGTGTTGGTAGTTGGGGAAAAAAAAAAAAAAACACTAATTATACACAATATAATTAATTTATTCAAAATAATAAATCAGCTGTATCTGAAAAGAGAGCACACCTCAAATTAATCAACTGTTTTGATACTTAATATTACTATATAGTGTTTGCATTTATATGGTACTAATTACTTTAGCTGTCAGGCATAATAAAGTGTTTAAAGCTAAATTCTAAGCAAAAACTACAGTATAATTATTTGAAATGGGTTAGATCTAAAATATAGTAATCAGCTGAAGAGTCAAAAATAGTTGTCCAAAACAGCCAATTTTTAAATTCAGTCACACACATTTGTATATTATAACTTTTAGTTCAATTGCCCTTGAACTTGCTGGCAAAAATCCTGATAAAAATGTAAACCTGTACAGTAGCAACCAGTGACAGTCTAAATATCTGGCCTTCAAGTTGTCTTTAGACATAGACATACATACATACATACATAAAAAAAATCACATTAAATAATCTTGTTTAGCCAACAAAATATAGGTCATTACAGTTGCCCCCGACGGTATCCTTTACTATTATTCACGGTCTTAAAACTGAATATTACAAGGCCAAATAAAAAGTATTTTTATAGTCAGTATATGGTATTCCAATGAAAATGTATGAGATCCAATAAACTATGAATTCCTAATTTGATTCAAGCTCATCTGGCCGAAGTATTGGGACATTAGTTAATATTTCTCCCCTTTCCAGAGAACACTTTTCCTTTATATACTGGTGTATCTGAGACAGAGACTGATGGTAAGTAGAAAAGTCCTCAGAGTAATGGCTTCCTTTGCAAGCAGTTTTCTAACGGAAAACTAATCCATATTAAGTAAGAGTTAATCAACACCAAATTGAAATCTGATTCCCATTTAATGCATTGTCAGCCCATATAAATTGTTAAGACGGACAAAGACCAAAAAGTGCTCTGTCAGTAATTGATGGCATTTTCTGTAGTGACTTGTATTGCAGACAGCATGCGCAGCACTGAGGTAAATGTGTGCAGGACATGAGTTCCATTAGCTGCACAATATTGTTGTTTTCATTTACTAACATTTATTCCGTGAGGAGATAAAATTAAAATGTCCATTTATGTGTAAAACTTGTACTTTTGACCTCATTATCTGACACAAACCCTTTTCTTACATTTGCAACATTTAACTAGAAAGACAATGGCAAGTGGCTTCTCTACTCAGGCAACTTGGCTAATCTGCTTTTAATGGATTTGAGGGATATTGTGTGTGTAACACAGCTGTTACGTAATGATACACACAAGTGGAGACTAATGTTCCTCTGTGGTGTAATCTTTACTGCCACTTTGTCTGTGCTATTATCCTAATGCAGCATTTCAATCACTGCACAGGGTTTCAATGCAAGCTAAACAATCAAGCTCTGTAAAAAAACAACCCATTTTGCTACAGTCATGTTTGCGAGGCAGTAAAAGGGCCAATGACATCTCAGCTGGGGTGAAATCACCAGGCAACATTGAATATGACTTAAACGGGGTGGCCAAAATAAAGAATATGACATGAAAAACTTTCAAATGTTTGCAAAGGTGAGTCATGATAGGCTGATTACCAGTTGGCACTGAGTCTAAAGGCCTCTAGCAACTGCCACTTTGAATTATGAAGCAAGAGTCAGGTCTAAAGAGTCAGGTTACAAAACCTCTAAAAAGTTTGTGTAAAATGTCTTACATATTATTAGAGTTAACTATTTCGGATTGTAAAGTTAGTGTTTAATAAAAAATTTTTTCCTTCCATATTGACAGTTACTACCCCACATATACAAATGTCTATCCAAAGACAGATGCTAATTGAATTAGAATCTGACTAAAAAAAGCCCACTTATAACCAAGGCCAGTGCACACCACTCCCTACTTTTTACACCCAAAAACACTGGCAAAAATAAATGGATGCTCTCTGTATTCCTGTTTCTCTTGGCAACAGTTAAACATGTTGAGGAAACTCTAATGGTATCAGCAGCCAGCTAATTGGAGTGATTAGATCCTCATAATTGCTCTGCAGGATCACATAATGTCCAAGAAATATAATGCCATTTTACAGGATAAAGCAAACACTGTTCTCTCAATCTACGATCATACATGGGTACAGGAACAGAGAGGTTTCATGGACACCCTAAACACCAGATCTAAACAGATCAGTAAATTTCTCCCTCATTCACCAGTCATACAAATGGAGGCTTTTTATTTTTATGAATGCCGTAACGTCCCACTATACTCTATTCAGTGCTTGTACGGCAGCGATCCAAGAATCACTGAAGCTGTTGAAGGCAAATGGTTGTTCAGCTTGTAATTAAGCCTCAGGTTCAGCACCGCATGGGGGCCTGGTGTGGGCCTGACCCACCCAATTACAACTGGATCATGGGAATCATGTAACCATGGACACTTAATTAAGAAAACATCCACATTCTCTCTTTTTCCTTATTAAAGTAGGATCTCAGTTCAATCACCGCTGACATTTTTAAAAAGCCCTCATTAAACTTATTAAGCTGGTTTGCTTTGCGTGTCACTTTCTCTATTATCCTTTTCTTCTGATCCCACCTACAGTATATGTCATAGGAACACTGTTTTCCCTCTCAATATGTAGCAAATGCATCTTTTGGGGTAATCAACCCTTTGCTAAACTCTAACAAACAAGTCACTTCTTTACAATGGATAAGCTATCGTCAGTAGCCTTGACATATAAAAGTGATGAATGTATAGATTCTGATTGGGTACCTGAGTGTTTTGCGAACCATATCTTCATCAGTTATCCCATAATACGTTAGGGTCTCACTCCAGACAGGGTTGAGAGTGTTGCGTAGGGTCTTTGTGCGGAGCTTATTGGCCTGGAAGAAATGACAGTTGCTTGTAGGTTAGTGGTTGTGTTCACTAACACTGGTTCACTAAATGAGCACAAGCTAAGAAGAAGCCAGACCTTCCAGATTTGAAACTGTAATAAAGTGTTATATAATAATAAAATGACATGAATCAGGGTTTTAAATTCTGCATTTAGACATGTACCACATTTTGATAACACGGTTGCAAAATGGCAAACCTCATTTAGAATTAATAGAAAATAAAACAGCTCATATAATATTTAGTTTGACCTTCCAAGGTTGGTGATCACCATTTTATAAAGCTTAAGCACCTTCTTACACCATTTATCATTTTCACCATCATGTAAATGTAGAAAGTGACTTGCGGTGATTAAAGCAGGTGCAATTAATTCCTAAACAAATGTCTTTGTTTCATCTAGTACATCTGTGAGGTGTTTCCTAATCATAATGGGTTAACTCAGACATCCTATCCCATTCAATTATTCTGTAACCCTGTGAAGGAGAGTTCAGCTGTACTGTAGGACACATGATCCATACAGAAGGAGAATGACTTAGAGGAGTCTTATGTTGTCAGTAGCTAAGTGGATTGTTGGCAGGATGAGCAAGAAGAGTAATGGTTAAAAACAGATGAATTATAATGAGAAGCATGATGATAATTTGTAGAGCACAGAGGTTGTTCAGCGACAAGGAAAATCTGGCCTTTTAGATTTCAAGGTAGCACTGGTCAATTTGATAAACGTAATCTAGACCCATGATGGGACAGATAGAGATGGTATAAATTAGTATTTTTAAGAGTTAATTTGAAGTTGGATACCTCAGACTCAAGAGTCTGAAGTAAAAAAAAAAGATTGTCTTGTTGAGTTGTCTCATGATTTCTGAGCCTGCGTCTGTCTGTCTGTCTGTCTGTCTATCTATCTATCTGTCTGTCTGTCTGTCTGTCTGTCTGTCTGTCTGTCTGTCTGTCTGTCTGTCTGTCTGTCTGTCTATCTATTAATGCCCAATTGAATATTACAGTTAAATATGCTATCTGACTGTTATTAACAAAATGCACAAAAAACACAGACACCTCCTACTAGTAACCTTCCATCTGATGTAAAGTTACTGATGTGATTTAAAATGTAATTTTAACTGGAATTACAGGTAGAGCTTGTTCTGAAAACAGAGTACTGAGTCTAGAGATACATAAATCTATATTAAATAGACAAAATTATACTCTATGTTCCACAGTTAAAGATTTTGAGAGCCTTTACCAAAAATATAGTTGTTAGAACGAGCAGTTAAATAGTCAGCCTTTATGGATTCTGCACAGTGACAGACAGTACCTTATGTGTAAATTGTGTTTTAGCATGTTTTAAAGGCAGTATTAAACATTGGAATCTTTATTGTAAGAAATCAATTATCAACGTAACATTACCATAAATCTGTGGTTCTCAACTGGGAAACAAACAGAAACAATAGAACAGAACAAAAGAATATATTTCTTGATTTTCTATTTTATTAATAATAATATTAATATATATTCTTCATAATATATTGATCAGAATCATTTGAAGTTATCCTGTGGAAGGAAGTTTCTTGAGGGCCCCTAATGGGTCCCGGCCCTCTGTTTGAGAACCACTGGCTTAAAACATATAAATCATATTACTACAAGCCTCCTTGTATTGTATAAAACAATGCATCTCCAAGGGGAGAGCAGGCACATACCTTACTAGCTCCAGGCAGCAGGTGCAGCTTAACATAGGGATCTGACAGCCCATTGTGATCCATTGGTTTGAGTCCCTGAGAGAGAGAGAGGAAAAAAAGAAAAAAAAAAGTGTGACTTATGAAAAACAACCACTTTTAGACATCCTATGAAGTCAACAGCACAAAGCACCATGTCAGCCTGATAGATTCCACAGGCTTTAGATATCCAATTCACGTCAAGCTCCTGCTTTTTCTAACAAGACGTACTGTTTCAGATCCGGCCAAATAAGCTAATTAGAAACACTGGAGGTGATGTCGTGCCATGACAGCAGAGCACTCTCCTGAAGCTCTTAGCTTTCTATTAACATGCATTTTAGTATGGGCAAAAAGCTCAAGCACTTTGGGCATAAAAAGCCCAATCGTTGCACGGACACGGCAGAAATATCAGACGTGCAATCATCCAAAAATGAATTGAGCAATTGTGTTGTTGGTGCCAAAAATAATAATGGATGCTGTGTTTTTATATAATGTTCAGGTTTGTCTGATGCATGTTTTGGAAATTTTCTTTATAATCAGATTCAACCGGATTCATTATTAAGTATATTTTTGAGCTATTTAAACAGTCTTGGGGTCTCTGAGACCCCTCACAGAACTAGAGGGTTATAAATTAACTACAAGCTGCACAGCATTTCGAGTAAATATCAATACAAAGCTAGACAACACTGTCTGCTGTCAGAGAGTCTGTGAGGCAAACATTGATTTTATTGAAAACCTCTGCACCACCTGACACCCATCATCTCTTAATTACAGTCTTTGTGGTGGGATTCGGTGAGGTAGCATTGGACTTTGGATTCGTAGGGCTGCGTAGATCTTGAGGCCCATCAATATCACAGAGGGTATTAATGAATAATGCCATATAAATTAGATCTTTTCAACACTGTTAAGCATTACATTCACAGTCAGAGAATGGCACCGCTGTCTCTCAGAAACCTCAAGGGGAGTGTTTTTGATTAAGGGAACATGTTCTTCACAAAGTCTGCATTTACCATTGCAGTCCAAATAATGGTTTTCAGTTTAGCCTTCTGCATAACACAACTTTGCAGCATGATTTGACAAAAGTGTTCCTTATCTTCAGAAAAAAAACCTACCCGGTCTCATGGCAAATACATACCTGGGGGCAAATTTTTGCAAGACGCGAAATACGTACCAATAAGTACATATCACTGCAGTTTCCAAAAAAATGAACACTAGAGGCAGTAAAACTCCGACACCTTTTAAATTATTTTCACACATTAAAATGGCACGGTTGCATCAAAAAATGTGTTTTTATATCAGTTTTGCATTTGTTAACACTATCGGGTAGGTTTAGGGTTGGGTTTGGTGTAGGGCATATTTCCAACACGACAGAGCATTAAGTTTTAGCGACAGTCCCCGGATATTTTGAATTCTGAATCGCCGCAATACGTACCTGAAGAAACGTAATAAAAACAGCAATACGTACCTATATCAACGTAATAAAAACGTGCCAGGGTTGATGTATCGAACCCGTGTTTTAGCGCCACTCAGTGGACATTTCTCTTTGAAACTGCGGCGAAACGTGCAGTAAGGTACGTAAAAACGGTGTTGCAGAAATGTACGCAGAGGTACGTATATTTTTATGAGACTGGGTTGAAAAAAACAGTCAAGAGAGCCTTTGCACTAATAAAATCAAGTTTATTCACACAGAGAGCAGCTGCCGAAAGAGCGTCAGGTCTTTCCAGAAATGTCTGGCATGAAATCGTATTTCTTTGAATGTTCAGAAGGAACCAAGTTAGTGAAAGAAAAGATTTTTATAGATTTAAAAAAAAAAAAAAAAATTTTATAGTTCTTATTAATGTAGTTAGTATGTTAATATTCAATTCCTATTTAACAAAAGGAAATAAGAAAATAAAAACTTAAAGCAGCAGTTCTCAGCTGGTCTTCTGGCCTCCAGCATTTATTGATATTTTTATGCCTGTGTATTGAACGCATCATGGAAACCTGTGCTGCAGATTCAATTCAACCAGTTCAACAAAGAGCACAAAAAATATGGAACATAACATTTAATTAATCTAATTAGCTAATGTTAAATTTGACAGCAGCACTAATTAATCTACAGTGTATCCCCCGTTGTTTTCTTTTACAACATTAAAACACAGTATTCACACCGTATTTAGTAAATGCAACTTTAGAAATAATCCCAGAGCCTGTATGTGGGTCTCTTAATAGCTTTGCACATCTGGCCACTGCAATTCTCCCTCATTCATACTCCACTTTGCAGAGTTGCTCAAACTCAGTTGGATTGACATGTGAACACAACCACTCCAGGACATAAATGTTGTTTTTCTGTTATTGCTGTGTATCTGTGGCTTTACACTTGTCATTGTCCTGCTGGAAAATAAATCTTCTGCCAAGCCAGAGGTATCTTGCAGTCTTCATCAGGTTTTCCTCTAGGATTTGCCTGTATTGTACTGCATTTTTTTACCCTCTACCCTCAGAAGCCTGCCAGGCATTCCCACAGCATGATGCTGCCACCACTTCGCTTCACTGTGGGGATGGTGTGTTTCTGATCTGCAGCGTTTGGCTTATGCCAAATATGCCGCTTATTCTAATGGCCAAACATCTCAGTTTTGGTCTCATCAGACCACAGAACCTCCTTCCAACTGGCTTCAGAGTCTCTCACGTGCTGTGCGGAGACATTTTTCTTTAATAGTGGATTTATCTTTGACATTCTCCCATTAAGATGTAGCTGTGAAGCCCTGGAGCAACAGTTAAATGTGCAATCTCTCCAATCTCAGCCACTGAAGATTGTCAATCCTTCAGAAGTCCCATTTTGCCTTCTGGTTAGAGGTGGATTTATACTACCATTATACTTTATTTACTTGCTAAGGGGTCCAGATCACCCCGAATAGTATGGTTTTTTATTCCTTACTTTTATTCAGCAAGGATGTATTACATTGATCAAAAGTGACAGTAAAGACATTTAAAATGCTACAAAAAGATTTCTATTTCAATTAAATGCTGCTCTTTTGAACTTTCTATTCATCAAAGAATCCTACAAATGTTTTCCACAAAAATATTAAGCAGCCACGGTTTTCAACATTGATAATAAGAAATGTTTCTTAAAGGGATAGTTCTCCCAAAAATGTGAAATGTCATTTACTCACCCTTAAGTTGTTCCAAACCTGTATGAATTTCTTTTGTCTGTTAAACTATATATTTTTAAAATTTTTTATTTTAAGAATATGGGTAACCAAACAGTTGATGGACCCCAATGACTTCTATAATATTGATTTCCATACTATGAGTCAAAGGGGTCCATCAACTGTTTGGTTACCCATGTTCTACCCGACAGAAGAAAGAAATTCAAACAGGATTGGAATTTGAGGGTGAGTAACAGATGAAAAATTTCATTTTTGGGTGAACTATCCCTTTAAGCACCAAATCAGCATATTAGAATGATATCTGAAGGATCAAGTGACACTGAAGACTGGAGTAATGGAGCTTTGCCATCACAGTAATAAATACGATTTTACAATATATTAACATAAAAACGGTTATTTTAAAATATCACTTTAAATTAAATATATAAACTAATGCTTTATTTTTTGTTTTTACTGTATTGTATGATCAAATGAATGTAGCCTTAAGCTAAAAAGATTTGCAGAGATAAAATGATAGTTTTCCTGTTGATAAGTGGCATAAAAACTAAATTAAGTCAAAAACAACAAAATACGAAAAGACCATTACTTTTTTTTATAGGCACTGCACATAAAAAAATAGCACTGAATCAACTTTCACCATTTTTCTGGTAGGTCAGAAGGCCTTAGGTCTGTTGAATTTCAGCATTTAAACATCACAAGCTAAAATGAGTCACAGACAAACTGATTTTAATATAGATTCAGCATATTGTGCAAGTATGTAGCCATGCTTCAGTGATGCATTTCTTTTCCCAGCAGGCTTTTTTTCTCTCTCTCTCAGGTAGGGCTCCTGGACGGTCCTCCAGACGGCCCCTCACACTCCTGTGTGCAGTCATGTGTGAGATGAGCAGCTCTCAGAGGGCCAGACTCTCCAGCCTAACATATAAGGGCTGTCAGAACCACAATCCTAATTAGTTATTTTCTGCTTCTGTGAGCTATACAGTTTAAACTTGTCAAAGAGGCTTGCTTGGGCTTCACACCTCTCTCTCTCCACTTTTGTTTAGCTTGTGGGTACGTGGAGGAAGCGCATAAAGACATAAATAATCATCACTGTTGCATTTAACACAACAACAGCGCCTGAGAAATAAAACAAATGAACATAAGGGGGTGTGAGAAAACTCTCAGTCTCTGACAAGTTCTCTGCATGGGCAAAAGAACATGGCAGGAGGGGTGACGGGCGAAAAAATTATGTCTAGTCTAGTCAAACAAAATCTTACAAACTGTAGCTTAGTAAAGAAGACTCAAGAAACGTGGGACTGTGATACTAGTGTATTGTTAAAAATGTAGCAAAATGTTCAGAAAAATAAAGAAAACTACATTACATTTAACCTTTTTTGTAAAAAGTACCATAAGCATGACAAAACCAACAGTAGAAACAAGCGGTTGGGATTTCTTCCATCACAAATTCTCTTTCATTACTGGAGCAAACTAATACATTTCTAATTAAGGTGCTCATTACAAATACTCGGTCAGGCTTTATTTTAAGGTCCAATTCTCGCTATTATCAAACCATTAACTACAATTGTTGCCTCAAACTCCTAATTTGCTACTTATTAATAGCTAGTAATATAGTTGTTAAATTTAGGTTTTGGGTAGGATTAGGGATGTAGAATATGGTCATGCAGAATATGTCCTTTATAAGTACTAATAAACAGCCAATATGTTACTAAAAGGCCCTCTCACCCCACACCATTGCACACCACTGGTTAAGCAAAAAGTTGACATGCCAGGCCACTAAAACAAACAGAACAGACATACTTAAAAGGTTAAAGTCAAATGAGTAGGATGTCTGAAAGCTCAGCACTCTAAACCAGCAAACATGGATTGTTTTCTTAACATTAGTGCGTGGTTATGATTTGATTATATTTTTGTTAATAT